GCAAGTGGAGAGCTACTGGAGGGCAGCAGCAAGCTACTGGCGCACGGATTTGTGCGCAGGGCTACTAGTGCATATATATATAGTACTATATATCTGCAAACTTTTTGCATAAGAAATACCTATTTAACAGGAAAGAAGACAGTAATGGAAAAATTAAAAACAAAGCAAAATAAAAACATATATAATGTATAGGTAACAAATAATAGAAGTCTTTCCTTATCAGTAATTGCATTCATGTTGAATGTATTAAATTATCTAAAAGGCAGAGATTAGAGAATGGATTTTTAAAATATCTAACTTTATGATGTGCATAAGAGACTCACTTTAGATTGAAAGACACAAATAGGTTGAAAGTATAAGAATGGGAAAAAATATTCCATGCAAATAGTAACCAAAAGACTGGCAGGGCAGCTATGCTATATTACTATCAGGCAAAACAGACTTTAAGACAAAAAATGTTAGGAGAAAGAAAGGACATTACAGTGATAAAGGGGTCAAGCCATCAAGAAATATCATAATTACAAAGATATACGCATCTAACAGCAGAACCCAAAATACATGAAGCAAAAACTGACAGAAGCTACAGTATGGGTGACGACCTTCAGAACATTAAAGAGGCCAGGCAAGCCCTAGCCAGTGTGGCTGTGATCAGAGTGTCCGCCCACACACCAAAGGGCTGCAGGCTCGATTCCTGGTCAAGGGCATGTACCTGGGTTGCAGGTTTGATCCCCGGCCCCAGTCAGGCCTCAAGCTGGAAGCAACCAATTGGTGTGTCTCTTTCACATCAATGTTTCTCTCTCCTCTCTCTCCTCCCTTCCTTCCTTCCACTCTCTCTAAAAAGCAATGGAAAAAATATCCTTGGGTGAGGATTAAAAAAAATAATAATAAAAATAAGCCAGGCAAGAAAGGCCACACAGTATATGATTCCATCTATATGAAATGTCCAAAATAGGTAAATCCAGAGACAGAAAATAGGTTAGTCCTTAACAAGGGCTGGGGTAAGGGGGGTAGCTAATGGGCATGGAGTTTCTTCCTGGTGTGATGAACATATTTTGAAATAGGATAGTGGAGATGGCTGCACAACATTGCGAATGTACTAAAACCCAATGAACTGTACACATTAAAATGGTTAAATAGTGAATTTATGCTATGTGAACTTTATTTCAAGTTTTTAAAAAGAAAATAAGGAAGTCCGTTATGTGAAAAGTTTATCAATAGAGATGATGAGAGGACAGAGCAAAAGCATGAAAATGGACCGAAATGTAGGGGAGATGGGTAACCCCTCCTAACACTGGCTGCTCTGCTCCAGGGCCTGGCACCCCAGCCCCACCTCACCTCCCAGCCCTGCTCCCACCCTGTCCGTTGCCCAATGAGGTACCTCTTTATCCTTCTCCATTTGGCAATTCATTCTTCAACATCCAGCTTCTGAGGGCCCTTCTCCAGCCCCCATTCTCCCCCAGGGAGTGGGAGTGTCTATGGCTTGAGCTCCCCCAGCATCACCCAGAGCGAAGGCTGCTAATCCACCACCCACCTGGACTCAGTGACGTTGGCAGGGCTTCCCCTGCACACCTTCTCCACCTGTACATAGACGGAGCAATTGACACGGCTCCAATCAGGGTCACACACTGCCAGGAAGTTGGGCCTCAGCCGGCCAATCATGTACTTGGCCAGATCTGTGAGGGACTGGCTCACTGCAGCCCCAAACAGGAATGTCCCCAGCACCTTGTAGACAGCGGCCAGGTAATTGTTGAAGTTGGAGCGGGAATAGAGCCGGTCCGTGTACACCAGGTAGGCTTCTCCGGCTGAGACCTGCAAAGGGATCAGCCAAGTCGCCTCAGGGCAGGACCAGAGCAGCAACCGTGGGGTCTCTGCCAGGCACTTACTCAGTCCAACCCACTGAAAGGGGTTTAGGATTTCTGGCTTCCCTGAGGCCACTAGGAACTGGGAACTCTGAAGGGGGTCCTCTTCCCCACAATTACCACCCAGGGCAGATACTTGATGCTCCCGCCCCACCAGCCCCTCCTGCCTTACAAGGATGACGGTGGTAGTGATGGTGACCCCGGCCATGAGCCCATGAGTGATGGTGTCTGGACGGTAGGGGTACCGGATGGAGTCATCACCACAGTAGAATCCTCGCTTGTACGGGGCATTCACGAGCGTCAGGATGGCGAAAGGCAGAGAGGCTGGGAGTGGAGGAGAGAAACCATGTAGCCACATGTTTCTCCCCGAGCACCAGCCCTAGGGCCACACAGACCAGCCTTCTGGAGTTTGCACACCTGCCTCAGCCTCCCTCCTGGTTTCCTCACCTTCATGCCCACCATTAAAACCCCCTCAGGGTTCCCCATCATCCTTAGATACTAACAGTGATGTCCTCCCCAGGACCATTCCCACCCCACACCTCCTACCCCTCACCCCACTTCCCTCCATCCTCCTTCCTGCTCCTGGAACAAACCAAGAAAGCACCCACCCCAGGACCTTTGCACATGTCCTTCTCTCTACCCAAACATTTTTAACTAACTTCCCTCTGGTCTCAGTTCCATTCCCCACTCCTGACTGTCCCACCCAAGTAATCACTCTTCTAGAAGGAAGTTTCAGTTCTTCCTGTTTCTTGTCCTTTCATATCCTATCTAATAAAAGAGAAACATGGTAATTAGCCGTACGGCCGCTACCCTTCCCATTGGCTAATCAGAGAGATATGCAAATTAACTGCCAGCCAAGATGGCGGCCGGCAGCCAGGCAGCTTAAAGCTAACAGGAGGCTTGCTTGCTTCAGTGACGGAGGACTCCAATGTTCCCCGCCTGCCTTGCCAACCTCTGAGCTTGTAATTATATAATCATTAATACTTGATTAACGTCCTCCCCCACCCATCTGTGAGCACCTGAACAGGAGGCTGTCATGCTCAAGGCTGAGTCTCAGGCATTTAATAAGCATCCTATCTAATAAAAGAGAAACATGGTAATTAGCCATACAGCTGCTACCCTTCCCATTGGCTAATCAGGGAGATATGCAAATTAACTGCCAGCCAAGATGGCGGCCGGCAGCCAGGCAGCTTGAAGCGAACAGGGAGGCTT